GTAGCACAAAAATTGAATATGAAGATTGATGTTTTTCATTGACTTTGGCTTAAGATTTTGAGTAATTAGAAAGTCTCTTTTTTTTTTCTTTTTGCCTTTGAAGTTTTCTCATTCCAGATTATAAAGGAGAACTCGTGTTGCTTGCTTTGTTAGGCAGAAACAAGCTGGAACAAGTGCTTGCAGGGCGGTTTTCCATCCTGCACGATGGCGGTGGCATTTCAGACTCCAGCAGGAGTGAAACGTGAACACACCTCACCCTGCCTCCCCCCTACCACCCACAGATGTTACCAACATCTGCAACTACATACCACAGGCCTGCTGCCAGCCAGGTGGTTTATACTCATCACTCACTACGTGCCAGGTCCTCTTTGTAGTGCCTGATGTTTATTAAGTAACCTAACCCTTACAAATGTATTCCTATTATTCCCCCATTTCACAGGATGCTCTGTGAATTTAAGTCCCAGAGCTTGTGTGGGGAACAGCTGGAAGCTGGTCTTTGACAGTCCAACTCCAGAGTCCAAGCTGCTTCTACCTTCTATGCCCCAAGTTTCTAAGTCCTTGCAACAAACACCTGTGGTATTTATTATCTCCATTAACGTGAGGAAACTGAGGCTCAGGGTGATGAAGGGATTCTTCCAGGTCACACATCTGGCCATGCCTGCAAAGCCCAGAGCCTTTCCCTTGCACCCTACTCTCTAGCCCCCCGTCAGGCCTGGAAGGTGACGCTGGACCCACGAAAGAAAATGCTGAGCGGCCCATCAGTAGATGTTTGTGGCTAGAAAATAAGAAACAAAAACCCCTGGAAGAGGGGCAGGTGCAAACACAAGCCGTGATCTTGGGTTTCATCACTCTACTTGTGAGTCAGCCCCCGGGTGGGCAGAAGTGGGTTGCAGTCTGCTCAGGGCAGCCAGATGTGTCCCATGGGAGAACTTCTCGCCAAAGGGCTGGAGCCTGTGCCTTGGAGCCTGGATGGGAGGTGTCCTTCCCCAAAGAATGTTAGGGGAAGGACTCGCTGCCACGCCCCAGAGTCACCTCCAAAGCATTGAATTGCCTGTCCCTCCAGGGGCTGGCAGGAAAAGGCCCTCTAGGAGATAACCACTGGGCCATCGCTCCAAGCTCTGAATTTGGAGAGAAAGGTAGGCAGCACCTGGTCAGTTGGCAGCTGGCACCTTCAGCTAAAAGACAGTTGACACCAGATTATAGACAGTGATTAGGGGACATGAGGCCATTCTCTGGAAACTTCTAAGGCGGCTCTATTGTGATAAGCCCACTTGACAACATCTCACCCCCCTGAGTTCTATTATTAAATATTACCTGTGCTCTCGGGTCTGCTGACCAAGCTGCTGTCACTGTCTGGGACCCCCGCCCAGGCAGCAGAGGGGAGCAGAACGGAAGTGGGGTGAGCGGGGATCAATAAGGGGTGGCATAGCCGTAAGATGCGGTGTAAGCAGCCATGTAAAAGTCATGCTTTCGGTGACTACTTGATGACATAAAGAAAAGCTTATGAGATCATTTTAACCACTTCGGTACGGCACTCACTGGCCACAAAACCTTGCCCACAGCCAGCACTCATAGTCTGCATAATAGTTTGTGCTGTGCATTGACAATAAATCCATTTTGCTCTTGTGTGATGAAGAAAGCTTTAAAGCACTGAAAGCTTGTTTTAGGCAGCTTTAGGAAAATAACTATAATAACTCCTACTAAGGACTTGTTAAAAGGTCACAGATTCGTAGTAACTTACTAGCTGATGTACACACTGCAACTGCAGAGATAAAAGCTGTAAAAGTAAAAGCTTTTGGCTGTCGACTAAAGTCGATGCTCGGCTGTGCACGTTCACCTGTGGCTATCGACTATAGTCGACGCTGGTACCGAAGTGGTTAATTATCACACGCATCCAGTCAAATGATAGGAGGAAAGACGCCAACACGTTAACCACAGCTAACTCTGAGTGGTGCGATTAACAGTGATGCTTCTTTTTCATGCAGCTCTTTATTTTCTGATCTATTTTAGAACAACTGTACCTTTCTTACATAAAAATAAATGTACAGTAAAGGTCACATCTAAATGAATGTGACCTTAGGAGACAGAAAGACCTGGTTTAAATACCGGCTCCATGGCTGATATTTAAGGTTGAGTGGTCAGCCTCATTTTCCCCATCTGCAAACTGGGGCTGATTATATGCAATTTCCTGGGATGACTAGGCTTAAAGGGGATTGTCACCCAAAGTTCCTATTTCATGGGGCTGGCTGTGCTTCACATGGAAGGTGCTGTCCTCCTCATGGGAGGCCCGGTGGGGGCAGGTTCACCTCGGTTCCTCTCTGCTGAGGCTGGTAGCCGAGGGAAGGGTTGCATTGGAAGCCTCTTGCTGAGTGAAATCAAAACTTGTGAAACTCCTGGGTTGCTTGCTTTGTCAACTGAGAGAGCAGTTGGTCCCATCTGAGCAGGAAGAGGGCCCTCGGGGCAGCAAGATGAGGCTGTGCGCTCAGCCTGCTTCTCCCGCTCACTCCCCTCTTCCCTCGATAGCATCTCTGACTCTCAGAATAGAATTGTTCTCTGCACCTCCTAGGGAAACCAGGCTTTTCTTTTTTAATAACAGCTTTATTGAGATATAATTCATCTACCATACAACTTGCCCATGTAAAGTGTAAAATCCAATGATTTTTTTAGTATATTTACAGTTGTGCAATTTCAGAAACTTTTCATCACCCCAAAAGAAACTCCTAACCTGTTCGTTAGCAGTTAGTCCTCACTCCCTCCTCACCCAGACCTAGCAAGTCACTAAGTGACTTTCTGCCTCTATAGATTTGGGCTGTTCTGGACATTTCATATACAAATGGAGTCATGCTACATGTGGTCTCTCATGACTGGCTTCTTTCACTTAGCATAATGTTTTCAAGGTTTATCCGCGTTGTAGCATAGATCAGTACTTTAGTTCTTTTTATTGCCAAATAATATCCATTGTGTGATACATTCCATTTACCCATTCAGAACTGATGGATGTTAGGCACCTTTTCTGGCTTTAACATATTATCTGTAATGCTAGCTGTGATCTGTTCAGGACCTACCATGTACCAGGCTCTTGACCTAATTTGTAATCCTTACAACAGCCCAGAGAGGCCTGTTTCTCCCAACACACTGATAAAGAAACTGGGCTGTAGAGGAGTGGCCCATCCAAGGCCACACCAGTGACAGAGCTGGGATTAAAAGGATCCTTCCCACTGCAGGACATTGCACCCCACCCCCAAGAGTTCAGAACCAAAATCCACTCATCCAATGATCCTTCATTCAGAAGCCTTAGCTGGCACCAAGTGGACGGCAAGCACACATTAATCAGAGCCAGGGGACACCAGACCCCGCCTCCTAGAGTTTGCTGCCCAGGTCAGTAAAGGTCACCAGGAAGGGTATGACCGAGCCCCAGGGAACGTTTTTTCGAGGGATTTTGAGCAGGATCCAGCTGACCAGGTGGATTTCCCAAGACGGGACACAGTGAGCCACCCATGCAGAGGGACTGGTGTGCACCCGGACCCAGAGGCCAGGACCTTTGGTCCATGGGGATGGGGTCTGGCCCTGTTGGTGGGGGCTGGAGGGGGTGCGAGAGAGGCTGGGATCACACTGCTGAGAGCCTTGCATGCCAGGCTGGAGTCTGGGTTTTGTCCTGTGGGCAGAGGGGAGCCACTGAAAGTTTTTGAGCAGGGAAACATGACCAAATCCATCCACTTCCACTCTGGCGTCTGTCTTCAGACACAGGCTCCTAGCCCCGGGGAGAAGGAAGCGCTGTGCTTCAGACCCTTGCGCACCTCCACTTCCCCAACCTGACAGGCTGTGGGTGCTCAAAAGACATTTGTTGAACGTCTGAACAGATGAATGAACGAAGGACCAATCTGCCCGCCAGTCCCCTCCCTTCCCCACCCCCATCCATTCCTCGACCCCCTTTAATGAAACATCTGGTGTGCTCCAGACTCACCTGTCTTGCCCACCTACCCTCTCTCTCCTCCCTCACCTCTTCCTGCCATCCTTCTCCCCCCACCCGCCGTGAGTAAACACAGGAGCAAACGCTCACGTGCTCCCACCGCGTGCGGGGAGCAGCGATTACTTTACATTCTCACGATCGCCCCCAGGGGCAGAAATGAGTAATTGCACTTTGCAGATGGGGAAATCGTGACTCAGAGCAGTTCAGGGATTTTTGCCCAGCTGCGGAGGGGCAGAACTGAAACTCAAACTGTGACCTTCCCTCTAGTGCCTCCCGCTGGGGTGGGGGTGGGGGAATGGGGGGGGTGTCTGTGGAGGGTTAAGGATGTGGGGAGGAAGAGGAGGCAAAGGAGAGACTCCCGGGGGAACGAGTCTTTGAGGGGCAACCCAGGACCAGCTGGTAGATCCCAGCCTGATGGCTCCTGCCCCAGCCCTGGGTGCAGCCAGGTCCCCCCAACCCCTCTGGCACATTCATACCCCAGGGGGCAACCTCAGGACCTCAGAAACACACACACGTCCCAAGCCCCAAGCCTAAAAAGAGGTGGAAACCGTAATTGCCTTAGACACAGAGGCTTTATTTTTCTATAAAATAATTCCCCAGATAATTTTTTATAAAATGCCCAGAGTAAACAACTACCAAAGAGGAAAACATCCCCAAGATGGTTCATCAGAAATCTATCGGTCAAGGCCTGGTGCAGTGGCTCACGCCTGTAAACCCAGCACTCTGGGAGGTCAAGGCGGGAGGATGGCTTGAGGTCAGGAGTTTGAGACCAGCCTGAGCAAGAGCGAGACCCCATCTCTACTAAAAAAAATAGAAAGAAATTAGCTGGACAACTAAAAATATATAGAAACAATTAGCCGGACATGGTGGCGCACACCTGTAGTCCCAGCTACTTGGGAGGCTGAGGCAGGAGGATCGCTTGAGGCCAGGAGTTTGAGGTTGCTGTGAGCTAGGCTGACAGCATGGCACTCTAGCCTGGGCAACAGAACGAGACCCTGCCTCCAAAAAAAAAAAAGAAAGAAAGAAAGAAAAGAAAAGAAAAATCCATCAGTCAAGCACCTAGGCTGGTTCCCAAGGCCCTTGGGGTGGCCTGACCCTGTCACTGTTCTTAACGCCTTCTAGGACATCAGCTCCAGAAAGAACCTTCAACTCCAAAACACTCATTTCACAGATGAGAAAATGATGCTCAGATCACGAAAGGGCCGGGCCAAGGTCACCGAGCATCTGTGGCAGAGCTGGGACCAGGCCCAGGATGCACCTCCCCCCCATCTTCTCCTCTTGCCCCCAAAGCTCGCTGCAGTTCTCTCCCCAAGGCTGTGCTACTGAAGGGGAGCCAGGGCTGTGGCTGGTACCACCTCTAAATGCCAGGTGGTATAGCTGAGGCCATGACAACCTCACTGTCCACCTGGGAATTCACCTGGCGGCAGAGAGTCCAGGGCCAAACAAGCCTACGGAAGTAGGTGGCACCCCTCCTCCTCCTACCACCCCTCCAGGGGCCAAGGTCTGCCAAGGCCACTTGCAGGGAGACCTCCGGCTTCCCCGTGCCATCGCTTTGGGCCTGTGTGACATCGATCCACTTGGCTACTGAGATTTTTCTCTTGCTGATCAGAAGTCCTGGCTGGCAGTTAAATAAGGCTTTTGGTTTTTGTTTTTAAGGAAAAAATCATGGCTACTTAATGTAAGTAGCCTGGGTAGGCAGAGTCTTTCTGGACATGGAGTCCTCAAAGGTGGGGGATGATTAGCAAAAGCACCCCGAGGGCTGAAAAGTGAGGGGTTCTGAACTACGCAACTGCAGAAGGACTTCCCTTCGGCAGGCGACACTCCAGGTACACCAGGAAGGGGTGGACGAATGTCAGAAGCGTTGCGAGTATTAGCATCATGTTCACCTGTGTGGGACAGAGGATGGAGTGAGGCAAAGAAATCTGGAAATCTGAGCCCCGCCAATAACCAATGAGGGTACTGGAACACAACTCGTTTATATTCTGTTTCTACCCAGACACCCTGGTGCCCTGGAGGAAGGACTTTCAGTATTTTTCACTCTGCCCTCTTGGGTGGGTGTGGGAAGAATATTATGTCCATTTCACAGGTGGGGAAACAGAGGCCGAGAGAGCATTCAGTGATCTGCTTGGGGTCACGTGGAGAGCCGATAGAGGCACCGGCTAGAAAATGCATCTGAATATCAGGTCAGGTCCCCTGATATCATAATCAAGTCATTCTCAGTTTTTAAGTTTAGTCTTTTTTTCTCCAAGGGACTGATTTAAACTCCTGTTCTACACTTCGCTGGTTTTTACAAAATGAGGCAGACAGAACCGTACAGTGGTCAAAACACTGAATTCAAAGTCAAAAGATTTCTGCTCCTTACTGCCTGCCTCTGAATACAGAAGTCATGTGACCTCTCTGAGCCTCGGTCTCTGCAAAGAGCAGGAGAGTCGTGCCCACGTCCTCGGGCAGGGCCCATGAGCACGCCTCCAGGTGTGGGGACACAGGGGCATCCTGCCCCTCGGGCCAACTGTGGAAATGGATGCATATGGTAGCCCTGGGGGACAGGCCAGGGTGGGACTGTACTCCCCACAGGCAGGAGACACCCCTGAAGTGTCAGGTTTCTGCTTGACATTTTTCAAGGATTTTTCGTCCTACTCCAGAATATGTCTATTTGTTCACCATATACACGAAAATATTTTCTCCCCAAATCTGAGTAGCATGGACTCTCTGGGAAGCTGCACCACACCAATCCTGTGGTTTCAGGTACCCCCAGCACAAGCCTGGGTACCCCCATCACCCCACTTTGAGAAGCAAGACGAAGGACATACCCCTATGCAGCACTGTGGCTGCAGGGACCACGCCCAGGCAGGCAGGTTTGGGCGCCCCCTGCTGGGGCCCCGCCAAGTTGCCCCAGGTCCTCCCAGGTCTGAGGCAGGGCCCCTGCTGGGGACATCCATCCCCACAGTACTCACATAGAATGGGTCATTCTGGAGGGGGCCTTTGATGAGGGTGAAGATGGGAAACTGGAACAGGGACACAATGGCCGACAAGGCCATCACCAGCCCAAAGAGCTTTCCAAAGTGTTCCGAAGGGAAACTGGGGACAGAAAAAAATGGGGTTCCAGTGAGTTTCAGGAACCCTCCCTCCAAGCAGGCAGCTGGCCTCAGGGGTCCTTTGTCAGCCACTGTTCCCAACTCCCTGTCCTAAGCCTGCCCCCACCCACCATACCCGCTCAACCCCTCCCTCTTCGTCTCTGCTCAGGCGTTCAAACCACAGAACACAGAGAAGGCACGTGTGGGGCCCAGGGAAAACAGCAGGGCCCAGTCACGGGCTGTGCCCAGGAGGCCTTAGGGAACAGATAGACACGCGAGCAGAACACCATATGCCAGACTATGTGTACCCCATCAAAGGTGGCAAGAATAGAGTACCAAGGGCAAAAAGAAGGGAAGAAACTTTCTTTCAACTCTTCCCTGGGAGAGCTGGAACAGAAGTGGGCTTTGGAGGGTGAATAGGAGTTCACCAGGTAGAGAACAGAGGCAGAGGGTACAGCAGATCCTTCCCACCTGCCTCCAACTCTGGGCACTGCCGCCTCCTCACCTGCTCCCAAGCCCAGTTTCCCTCACCCGACCACCTCCAGGCCCACCCTCGCTTCCCAATGTCTTTACCTTGCCTGCTTCCCTGTGTCCCAGAGTGTCCCCCACAGCGGAGCACACCCCAAGGCCACTTACGCGAGCGTGAGGAAGGTGGCATTGCTCCCGTACAGGAAGGAGCGGCTGACCACCTGCAGGATGAAGGTGGCATACTGGAGCGGGAGGACGGGCACCGAGGCGCAGACGGTGAAGCCCAGGCACAGCAGGGACGTCAGGGTCAGCGAGGGCACTGCTGAGCGCAGGGCCACCATCGAGGTGGAGGAGCCTGGTCCAAAAGGGCGGAGGGGAGACTGCTTGGAGACCAACCCAACCAAGGGCAGGGGAGGGCCAAGACAGGGGGCAAAGCGGGAGCCACTGCCCACCCACCTGTCCTGGGGGTCATCCTTGAACCCTCTTGCCCCCACAGGCCCCATCTCCAGGGCATCAACAATGCTGATCATTCACGTCCTGAACACCTTCCCAATGGTCCCCTCCTCTCCAACCTCGCTGACTCTTCCTAGCTTTAAGCCACCATTAACGCACTCATAGATTATTGCAATGGCCTCCGGACAGGCGGCACACCTGCCCTTGCCCCCTCGAGCCTGTGGCCAGATATTCCTCCCTCGTAGCACTACTGGTAATAGCGAAAGACTGGAAACAACCCAAAGGGCCATGGACAGGGGCTGCTGCGTCAACTGCGCTACAACCACGTCATGGAGACCAGGCAGTGGGCAGAAGGAGGGAGGAGAGGCCCTGCCACGGGACAACGTCAGAACAGTCACGCAAAATGCCCTGCAGCACAGTGTATGGAGTACACTGCCTTTTATACAAGAAAGAGGGAAACACACACACACACACACACACACACACACACACACACACACACACACACAAAATGTCTGTACTAAAAACAACAGTAGAAATGGTTACCTAAAGAAGAGGGAAGGAGAGGGCCACAATAAACAGAGAAGGAAACTAAACTGCCTTGAATGTATCTTGTTTCGCAGTTTTAGCTTTGGTAAAATGTAAATGTTTGATATGTATATGTTTTGCAAATAAAATGAAATACAAATAATAGGGAAAAGGGGAGAGTTTTGGGAGGGCAAGGGAAATATACATAACTTTAATATTTGTAGCCCCATAATATGCTGAAAAAAATAAATATAAGGAAAAAAACAAATAATAGGAAGAAAACAAGCAAACAACTCCCCAAAATCAAAAACAAAATAAAATGAAACCAATGAATATTACTCTATATGCAAGTTGGTGGACTCTAAAAACACAGTGATTTGTACATCTTTCGTGGGATATACACCCTAAGGATGAGAAAGGAGGGGGGAAGGTCAGAGAAGGGCAACAGCATTTAGCCATTGTGTTGTTATTAGCAATATTGATGTTGCTAAAACCAGTAATTGTATCTAAAATGTTATACATATATGTATATGTATATATTCACATATATAGTGTTGTTAGGGACCAAGACTTTCAGAGGAAGAGAGACAGCTGGAAATGAATAATCAAAGAAATAAAAATTTGAATGAAAATATCAGTATTAAGTATTCATGATTTTTTTCCTTATGAAAAGGTATATACACCTTAACTCTCTCCAAGGCTCAAAAGCAGTGACAACCCAGGAGCAATGAGAAACCCCATATCCAGCCTGAAGTCTCTAAATACCATTTTCCATTAAAGGGCTGCAGGGCTAGTTAGAGAAATGGCCAATTTCAGGTAAGGACATGGTCTAAAACTAACGGGGTTCTGTCTAAAGGACACAGATGCTGGACTGGTAAAGTTCCCAATGGCCAAAGGTGAGACAATTTGAGCATTAGGAAGAATCATGAACAGATTGAAAGGTGTCAAATATATATAAAATGAGACTTTTAAAAAAAAGAAATAACTAGTAGCCATCCCTGGAGGCTGCTAAGGCACCACTCGTTATTCTGAAACTGGTAAATAGAGGGGAAAACCAAGCATTTATTTCAGGGTGACAAAATAGTAAGGGAAAGTTTTTCTTTCTAGAAGGAACTCTAGCTATTAAAAGCAGAAGAAAAGATAGAAAATGCTCCTTTTGCAACCCTAATAAAATAACGGCTACTAAAACCATTAGGTGTACAGTTGATGGGAAACTTTATAATGGACGGATCAGACTGACAACGTCTGAACCGGTTGATCAATCTAAACACCATAATGAGACAACAGACACCAGGGCTTGCTGATGGGAGACCAGAGGAAGCCCACAGCTCCCCCTCCGCGCTATTCTTGCCAAAAATAATAACAATAACGATAAATTGACAGGAGGCTGAGGCAAGATCACTTGACCCCAGGAGTTTAAGACTAGTCTGGGCAACTTAGTGATGAGACTCTGTCTCAAAAATGAAGAAAAAAATTAAATTGAGTCTTCCCTAAGCCTCTAATCCACATATTTACAGGAAACAATCAAAGGGACTCTTAAATGATGCCAAATCCAAAATGTGGGAAACTCGACAGGACAGATGACCAGTTTCTTCAACAAATAAATGAGACATAAAAAATGGGGAGAGGGGATACTGTTAAAGATTTTTAAAGATACAGAAGACACATCAACCAAATACCTCGCATGGACCATGTATGAATCCTAATTTGAACAAAAACTGTAAAAAGACGTATTCGAGTGACTGCATATTAGACAATATTAAGAAATTGTTATTTTTTTAGGTGTGGTGGCATTATGGTGATGTTTAAGTAAAAGAGGCCTTATTTGTTGAAGACATATACTGAAGTATTTATAGGTGAAATGACACGATGTCTGAGATTTGCTCTGAAATCCCCGACAGGCGTGTGAGTTGGGAGGGCAGAGAAGAGACGGCTGGCAAATGTTTCTCTCTGCTCTTATTCCCCCAGATGCCCCCAGGGCAGGACACCTCAGCACCGCCCCCTTCCCCAGTCTTGTCCAAAGATCAGGCCCCAGAACTCCTTGGCATGGGAAGCAGCCTGACCCCTCCTTACCTCTCTCCCCAGCCTCTTCCCTGCCACTCCTGGCGTGCGCTGTGCCCTGGCTAGCCTGACTCGCCTCCCAGACCCCTCCGATGCCTCAGTGTTCCACTCTCCCAGTCACCACTCCACCCCGCTGTGTTCCGGGCCACCTTCCCAGGCCCCGCCCCTTCCTCTCCCCGCTTCCTACTCATCCTTCAGGCCTTGGCTCAGACCCACTTCCTCCGGGAAGCCTTCCCCTACACCAACCCCATCAGCGCCCAGAACAGGTGCCATTCTTTGTGTCCCCACGGCCACCTGTAGGTTTACTTGACCGACTGCAATTGCCTGATGATTGCCTTTCTCCACCCTCTAGACTGAGAACAGCTTGAGCAAAGGGCTTATCTGTCTTGTCCACTGTTGAATTCCCACTGTCTGGCACTAGGGCTGGCATATAATTGTCACTCAGTGACTAGTGGCTGAATGAATGGATGAATGAGTGTAAGGAGAAAGAGTTAAGAACAAAAGAGAGGGTAGCATGGGGGTAAATGAAGATCTCTCCCCTCCCTGCTCCCCAACCCCCCCCCCTCACCTGTCCTCTTAGCTTCCTTCTGGTACTTCTGCTTAAGCTTGTCCATGAGCAGGCCATTCCAGGGGGCACACAGCACTCCGAAGAACTGAGTGATGGCGAAGGCATTTGTGTAGGTGCTGACTGCAGGGGACGGAGACGAGGCGGGTGGTGAGAGGGCTCCAGGACTGCCTTCCAGGGTAGAGCTCTCTCACCCTGCACTCATCCTGCCCATCCCTCCACCCCCACCCTCAGAGCCTCCCCTGGAGTCCCCTGTCCGCAGCTGGGCAGGAGGACATGCTACCTCCCAGCCTCGCTGCATACCTATCGCCCTGTCCCCGCCGGCCAAGCTGGTCAGCAGAGAGTTGAGAGTGCCGATGAAGAGGTAGTGATACAGCTGTATCACAGACAGCCACAGCAGGTGCCAGGCGAAGCGCCGGGAGAGGACATAGCTCCAGAAAGAACGGGGTTTCTGCTGCTGCCCTGGTCCTGGGATCTCTGATGGGGAAAGGATCCAGCAGGAATTACAAGGGAAGTGGAGGGATAGGACAGGCAAGAGCATAGAGGCCTTCATGGGACAGCCTTGGGTCGAGCCCTCCTTCCGCCCTTGTCTCCCAACCTCCCCACCTCCATGCTTTGTCATCCTGGCCCCACCACCTTGAATGACCCTCCCTGCAAGTTCCCAGCCTATTGAAATCCGATCTGTCTCTCACAGCCTGGTCAATGACACTTCTTGCAGTAACACCTTCCTGATCTTTCTCAGCCAAATGGTAAAAAGGACACAAGGAGGAGAGAGTTAGAGGTGAGATGGGGATGAGTGGTGGCAGCTACTGTTCCGTGGGCTCCTCACCCCTCCTTTCCTTCGGGACCAGCATCCTTGGAAATTCATCCCCTGGCCTGTTCTCCGTGGTCCACATGGGACTGTGAATTAAGAGTTCTATTCCTTACCCAGGGTTGACCAGTTAGACTGCTCTCCCTAAAGAGACAGACTGGCCATGATTTTTAGACTGGGATGGCCAGAGGTAGCCTGGTGCTACTCCTCCTAGAGCCTGGCAAATTTAATTTTCCCCCTTGGTTTTGTAAGCTTCCCAGAATCCTATTCTTATTTTTTAAAAAATAATAATAAATTATATTGTGGTATATTTAAGGTATACAACATGATACCATACAATACATAGAGATGGTAAGATGGTTATTATAGAGAAGCAAATTAACGTATCGATCATCTCACATATTTATCTTTTTTTGGTAGCAAGGGCAGTTAAAATCTACTCATTTAATAAAAGTCCCAAATACAAGACAATTTTGTTATAGTTCTCATGTTGTACACTAGACCTCTAGAATGTTCACCCTGAGTATCTGCTACTTGTATCCTTTGACCTCCCTCTCCCATTTTCTCTACCCTCCCCCGCCCATGCTTATTCCCATTGTAGCCAGCTGCGGTTTGTGATGTTTGTAACCAAAGACCCAAAACAGACAGAGGAAGGAAAGGAGGCCGGTGCAGCTGGGACAATGACAGAGGGCAGACTCTGGAGACCTACAGAAATGGGAACAATTGAACCAGACTGAGGGCAGTGGCATCACAGAAGAGGGCAGAATGGAGGAGCGGGGGAAGGGAAGGCAAGTCATGGCAGACAGACTTCGGGGGTGGGGATGGGGGGATAAGAAAGAGAGAAAAGAGAGAACAGAAAAGAGGCTCTCCCTGGACACTCTACAAAGTGAGAGGGGCTGAGAAGATCCTTAAGGTCTTTTCTCTGCCTGACCTTTCCCAATTCTGGTGTGTGTGAGGAGGGGGAGGGGAGAGGGTCTGCAGGTGAGGAGTTGGGGAGGGAAGAGGAGAGGCGGGTTCTGGAGGAGTCAGGTGACCAAGGGGGGGGCTCACCTTCCTTTGGTGAAAGGAACTCCTTTGACTGCAGCTCCCTGTTTTCAGGCTCAGCTGTTTTCTCCTGCTTTGTGGGGCAGTTCCCAGAGCACAGGCTGCGGAAACAAAATCCCCACCAGCGAGGCCAAGGACTGTGAGCTGAACCTGAGGTCCCGACTGGAGGGAATCATGTGCTGGACCCCGAATTTCAACACACTTTGGAATCACCTTTTAACCACCCCAATGGCCAGGGTACAGTCCAGACCAGTTAAATCAGAATGTCTGGGGGTGAGAGCCAGCCTTTCTTTCTTTTTCCTTTATTTCTCTTTTTTCATTTTTTAAGATCTCCAAGTGATTCTGACATGCAGCAATGTTTGGGAACCACTGGAGACCTGGAGAGAGTAGCACAGGCCTGAGTTCAAATCCCAGCTCTGCCTCTTCCCGGCAGCAGAAACACGGCTCCGACTTAACCCTTCTGAGCCTCATGCTTCTCATTTGGCAAGTGGAGACAAGGGGACTGTTGTGAGGATGAAATCAGAGAGCACTGAATGGATGCTCTCTTGGATGAAATCAATCCAAGAGGATTGTTGTGAGGATGAAATCAGAGAGCACCCGGGTCTGACAAACAGTAAGTGAGCAGCAAATGAACGCTGCCATCTAGCCCTTGTGGTCACTAACATGGCCCCATTTCCTCACCTCCTCTGCACCTCCACTCCCTGCAACGGGGCTCTGCAGCTCTATTTCCCCCTGCCCTAAGTCTAGGCTGGCCAGGTGAGCTGCCTCAGCCGAGAGAACGCAGCAGAAGTGATGTGCTAATTCCAAGCCTGGACCTCAAGAAAGCAAGTGCATTGCTGCACTTTCTCTCGGAACCCCGAAACCACTGTGTGCTCAGGCCCGTGCTAGCCTGCTGCAGGGTGAGACCCACGTGACCCAGACATCCGCCATCCTAGGCCAGCCGGCCCAAGCTAACCTGCTTGATGCTGATCAGAGCCATGAGCAAGCCCTGTCGGCCCCGTCCGAGTCTGGCCCCAAGCAGTAGAACCAGCCAGCTACCCAACTTGTGAGAAGTAATAAATGCATAGCGTTTTTGGCCACTGAGTTTTGGGGCAGTTCACTATGCAGTGATGGCTAACTGATACAGCCCTGCTCCAGTCCTCCCCTCCTGTGACAAGTGTGCTCTGCCCTGTCTGTCCCACCCCTTGCTTCCCACCCTAGGTCAGAAGAGGGGCTTTGGCCCACAATCGCCAGATCACAGTCCTTACCCATAGCTGTAGTTGGGGGGCAGTGGGTAGGGGATGTGCCCCCGGGGCATCAGGACGAAGGTACGTGTGACATGCCAGGTACTGCAGACTGAGATGAAGATGAAGGAGGCCCTGAGGCTGATGCCTTGTTCATAAAGCAGCTGCAGAAGGAGGAGGGAAAAGTCAGCTTGACACCCGTGTTCACAGCAGCACTATTCACAGCAGCCAAAAGATGGAAGCAACCCAAGCGCCCATCAATGGATGAATGGCTAAACACGGTGTGCTATATACATACCACGGAATATTCTCCAGCCTTAAAAAAAGAAAGGAAATTCTGCCACATGCTACAACTTGGATTGAACCACTAGAACATTATGCTTAGTGAAATGAGCCAGTCATAAAAGGACAAATACTGTATTATTGCACCCATAGGAGGTACCTGGAGTAGTCAAGTTCATAGCACGGAAAGCAGAATGGTGTTTGCCAGGGTCTAGGGGTAGAGGGTGGGAGGAATGAGGAGTTAGTGTTTAATGAGTGCAGAGTTCCAATCTTGATGAAGAGAGATCTGGAGATGGATGGTGGTGACAGCTGCACAACAATATGAACGTATTTAATGCCACTGAGCTGTACGTTTAAAAATTGTTAAGACATCAAAATAGCTAGAAGAGAGGACTCGAAATGTTCCCAACACATAGAAATGATAAATCCTCAAGGTGATGGGCACCCTAAATGCCCTGACTTGATCATTATTCATTCCATGCACATAACAAAAAGTCATGTGTACTCCATAAAGATGTACAAATATTATGTATCAATAAAAAATGGTTAAGATGGTACATTTTATGTTATGTGTATTTTATCACACATAGTAACGTCAGTGCAGGAGGCAAGGGCTGGAACCTCAGTTTCCATGGAGTCCCAGTACAGGCCCTTGCCTACCATCCTAGAAGCTAAGGACTCCTCGTACACGCACCCTCCTCCCAGGGCCCAGCCAGCAGCAGTGGAGTCATCATGTGACCCATCCCCACAGCCTGTGGAGCTTCTTAGTGTGGCTCCTTAAAGATCTTCTAGCCCCATGCCTTCTTCCCCCAAGAGCAGCAAAATCCTTTTGTTCAAACATGATTTGACACAAAAATTCAACTTACAAAACACATCAACGGGGAGCTGGCCACTCAACCTCCCTGCATTCTTCTCGGTGACTGACAAAACACCAAAGGGATCCCCTAAGTTCCTCAACACCTAATTTGAAAACCACTGATCTAGCCCAACCTCCCCATTTTACAGAGGATGACACTGAGGTCCAGAGAGGAGCAATGCATTGTCCAGGGTCAGAGTAAGCAGCAGCAAAGTCAGATTAAACTGAAAATTCCTGCTCCCCGGTCCAGCACAGTTTTTCCTGCCAGCTCTAAAGAAAGAGGAGAGAAAGGGAGGCACACCCAGGGGAAGAAGCAAGAACCTGGAAAGTGGCTTTTGTACCAGGAGTAGAAAGGCTTGGGTGCCCCAGGGCCAAGGTGCTCATGGGACTAAGCTCGGCTCATGTCTGGGTGGTGACAGGCAGAGACCCTATTCTCTTCCCCCATGGCCCACAGGCTGACACAAAGCCCAGAGGGAAGTCCCAGGTTAGGCAGCTTGGGCCCCACACTCTTTCATTCCTCTCACTCAGCCATCTTTAGTGTGTTGGCTATTGTCTTTCACCTTGTTGCCTCATAGTCAAAGCATGGCTGCCACAACTCCAGCTATCAATCCTCCCACTGCAACATTCAAAGAGGAAGGGTAAAAAGAAGGACCAAGGAGGAAGGCTTTCTTTTCACTTTGCTCTCACCTTCCATCAGGGAGAAAATGCTCCCCAAGTCCTCCACTACACACACCCCCTTTATCTCATTACAAAGGACTGGACTACTTGCCTACCTCTACTCATCACTGGCAAGGGAGAAAAGGACTGCCATGGTTGGCTTAGATCAATCAGGATTCGTCCCCTGGGCGGGGCAGGTCACTGCCGAGATAAAATCGCTGGCAATGAATAAGGCAGAATGGTGGTGGAGAAACAAATAGTCTTGGCAGCAGTTCATCCCTCTGACATTCAACATCAGCCTTTGGGAGAGCTGAGCAGGCCTATGTCTGCACTTCCTGCCCCACTAGCCACTTCCCACCTGCTTGTGCAAACCAGAAGCTCACAGCAGCAAACACCCCCATTCCAAAGGGCTCCCAGCCTCTGCCTAGGACCAGACGGGGCTGGCTCTAAGTTCTAGTATCATGGTTACTAGCTGCAGAGCCTTCAGCAAGTTTCTTAACCTCTCGGAGACCCAATGCTTTATCTGTAAAATAGGGATAAAAAAGTTCCTTAACGAGAGAGTTGATGGAGAGAAGTCATGCAAGGTTCGCAAGACCAGTGTCTGCCATATGTAAATGCTCAGTAAATGTTAGCTATTGCTATTTTTTACCTTAATAATAAGAAAGACTGCCGAGGAAGAGTCAAATGCTCCATTGTAGAGGGTGATGATAGTCGAACGATGTTTGCCAAATAGGTTCCCAATCTGGGAAAGACAGGACCAAGCTGAATCATTTACTCATAAAACAAATATTTCCTGAGTACCCAGCATGTTCCAGACTCAAATCCACCCTCTAAGGGCTCCCACCCTGGCTTGGGGCAACCACAACTGAAGCGGACAATCACACCAAGTGCCACTTCCTCCCCCTGCCCGCGACCCTCCACTCCATCGTCCACCTCCTGCCAAGTGGCTGGGATCAGGGTCGGCTCCTACCTGCAGGTTGGTGATGAGAAACAGGATTCCCCCAACACTGAGCAGTGGCATAGCCAGGTAGAGCAGCACAGCTGAGCCTGGATCACCAAAGTCAGAGGTAGAGTGTGTCACAGTGCAACCCAAACTTGGAGCTCCAAACTCAGCTCCCACCTCCTCCAAATTCCCAACAACCCTGGGGTCAGGGCCCCAATTCTAGCCAGCCTTCTATCATCCTTCAAGGGTCTTAAGATACTGGCCAAGGCGTCCCAATATGTCCCTGCTGAGGTCTCCTGGGCCACCTTCTTCCCCACCAAAGATGGTGCTCAGTCTTTGGCACACCTGGATGCCTACAGATACACATGATTCGAAGTTAAGCCACTGGCCACTCCCTTCCTTCACTAAACCACGAAAGCCTTTCCTACTCATCCTCAACACTGTAGGGGAAGAGGACCCTGGACTCAGTCCCCTGGTTCAGGCCCCAAGCCCAACCTCTAATTTATTAAATGACTCTGAGCTGGTTCTAAATCTTTGCCTCAGTCGCTTCATCTGTTAAATGGGAATGACAGCCCCTGCTCTCCCCACCTCGCAGGGGTGCCATGAGATCTCAGTGAGAAAATGGCCATAGTCTTTCCTTTGTTCATTAAGTTCTGAGTACTTCCTTTGTGCCAGGCATTGTACTTGGCATTGGAAATGCTGGATAAGTAAAACAAACTCTTTGCCCTTGAATAGACTGACATGCAAACAAATCATTACCACAGGTCTGGAAAGTATCGGATAATAGCAGAACTGCTCAAGGGCTAGAGGAGCCCTTGATAAATTAGTGCTTTTCAAAGACCACAGACTTCTGCCCACCTTCATGATTTTGGCATAACCTATGCCTGTCCTATTATTTGCTAAAATGTGTTGCTTTTTTTTTAAAGTTGACTCACTTTCAGCCCAAAGAAACCTATTGTTTAAAGTACACTTTATATCACTACTGTAGATGAAAACACTTGCATTGTTTGTCATGAATAGGAAGTAACTAAAAAACAAATACAATGAAAGGAAAACAATGTTACTAAATTGTAGCCAGATGCAGTTGCCCTTAGAATGTTCAAAGCCTGAGACCTGCTCTTGCCATCAGTGTTAAAATCATACTGGCCCCACGTTGAGACTTTCTTTCATGAAATCAGCAGGGCTGAAAGAGAACATAAAAAGGGAATATCTTTTCCACCAGGTGATTCAGTGCTGGTTAATGTAGTTAATGTCGCACATGTGTGCCCTTAATATCCTCTTAACTACTGTGCTATACCTCGGGAAGCCCTGCAAAGAGCAAATTTTAGAGCACTCACGCTATTTACCACCAGTTTGTCTTTGTAAAATGTACATCTCTCCTGGCACTAAAGGTTGGAGATCCCTTTCACAATAGAGTCCCTGCAGCCTGCACACTTTTTCCAAAAAACAAAAAGGTGCTATTTTATGGGGGAAACGGGGTATTATTGCTCAGACGATCCATAAAAGTGAGTCAAACATTAGCCAGCTACCACCTCCACATTCGGCCTCTTGAAAATCATTGACAGGCTTTTAGAGTAGATGGTGCTGGTTTGATAAAGAGAGAGGTCTGAAATCACCGGCTTGAAGTGCCAGGCTATCTCCTGAGATCTGTTTGGGTGAAGACAGCATCCGTGTTTGCCCGGCATGAGGGGAGGAGACAACCTCATGATGCTGCCTGGCTTCAGCATAGCTACCACACACACTACAATTGCGTGCTTCCCTTTCCTAAACCAAAAATGGAGCCATATGATCTAACACGGGGGAGGAATATTGGGAGGCCTCTGGTGGCCGGGATAATGAAAACGCTAGGACAGAACCACCAGGGACCAGGATGCCTGCAGCCCAGGCCTGCTTCCCACTCACTTTCTTTGTGGCTTTGGGCAAATCTCTGCAAGGGGTCCCTCTCCAGCCTCAGTTTCTCCTCTATGTAATAGGTCATGGGGCATGAGGGGGATAAACCAGATTGGAATTCCCAGACTTTTATAAAGTGGTAAATTTTGAAAAGCAAGCTTTTGAGTATAGCGGAGTTGTCGACTTTTACCCTGCTAAGGATATTTTCAAAATTGTCAGTCATATTACCATTTCATTGAAAAGAGAAAGGACATTTTTTTTTTTTTTTTTTTTTTGAGACAGAGTCTCACTCTGTTGCCCTGGCTAGAGTGAGTGCCATGGCGTCAGCCTAGCTCACAGCAACCTCAAACTCCTGGGCTCAAGCAATCCTCCTGCCTCAGCCTCCCGAGTAGCTGGGACTACAGGCATGCGCCACCACGCCCGGCTAATTTTTTCTGTATGTATTACTTGGCCAATTAATTTCTTCCTATTTATAGTAGAGACGGGTCGCGCTCTTGCTCGGGCTGGTTTCGAACTCCTGACCTCGAGCAATCCGCCTGCCTCGGCCTCCCAGAGTGCTAGGATTACAGTCGTGAGCCACCGCACCCAGCCGAGAAAGGACATTTTAACACATATAAGAAAAAGGATGTAATGTTTTGAATCAGTTCTGCTCTCTAAAGCAATCCCCTCTCCATCATCCTTCTTTTTCACGTTTTCTCAGCAGACTAAACTATTTTCATAGACCAGCAATAACTCAATATCCCTCGAGGAGTCTTTCAAGCCGTGGATGTCTGAATAACCATGTGGTACGTGTGTCTTGCCCATGACCTGACCTCTGCTCCTGCCCCTCGACCAGGTGCCCCCTGAGCTTGTGCCCCTCCCCTGCAGCACTCACTTGCAGAGGTGAAGGCTATGATGAGCGTGGCGCTGGTGTAGAGAGATCTGGAATACAGAACAGGAGAAGGAGAATATTGTCAAGAAAGGAGAAACCTGGGGGACAAAACACGATTCTGCTCACCCAACCTCCAAGTTCAGGACGTGACTGCATTTTCAACCAGCACTGAACTGGGAGTTCAACGGGCACCGATGCCATGTGCAAGAAGCCTTAAGATTGAGATGTGGTCCTGGCCTCACAGACAGTGCGCTTTGCTCCTCCCAGAGTCCAAGGCTAGGCCGGGGAGTCCTGGACAATGATTGTCTCAGGGCTTAGGCGGGGGCAGAATGGGCAGAGCCAAGGCCCTCCCACCTGCAAGTTCCAACAGCTCAACCCCCTAGAGAAAGAAGTTGGAGCCTGGCCTGCAAATCAAAATCTGGAGTTACAACTCCTCCTCTGGTGTGACTCTGGGGCCAGGTGCTGCCCCTCTTTGGGCTTCAGAAGCCTTTTATTTTATTTTGTTTATTTTAATTTATATTTTAATTTATTTTATTTTATTTCATTTCATTTTATTCTATTTTTGAGACAGAGCCTCGCTCTGCCACCTGGGCTAGAGTGCCGTGGCATCAGCCTAGCTCACAGCAACCTCAAACTCCTGGGCTCAAGCGATCCTCTTGCCACAGCCTCCACAGTAGCTGGGACTACAGGTGTGAGCCACCACACCCAGTTAATTTTTCTATTTTTAGTAGAGACGGGCTCTCACTCTTGCTCAGGCTGGTCTGGAACTCCTGATCTCAAGAGATCCTCCTGCCTAGGCCTCCCAGAGTGCTAGGATTATAGGCCACCGCACAGGCCCAAAAGCCTTTTTTATAAAAGGAAATGATTGGACTGATCCCTTAGCCCTGTGGTCCCCAACCTCTGTGATCAGGCTGAGTCACCACCTGAGCTCCGCCTCCTTCCCTCCTCCCCCCTAGAGCGAGTGCCATGGCGTCAGCCTAGCTCACAGCAACTTCAAACTCCTGGGTTCAAGCAATCCTTCTGCCTCAGCATCCCGAGTAGCTGGGACTACAGGCATGCGCCACCATGCCCGGCTAATTTTTTCTATATATATTAGTTGGCCAATTAATTTCTTTCTATTTATAGTAGAGATGGGTTCTTGCTCTTGCTCAGGCTTGTTTCGAACTCCTGACCTAGAGCAATCCACCCGCCTTGGCCTCCCAGAGTGCTAGGATTACAGGCGTGAGCCACCGCGCCCGGCCTCACCTGTATTTACAGCTGCTCCCCATCACTCACATCACTGCCTGAGCTTCCTTCCCCCTCTGTGGCAAAACTGTCTTCCATGAAACTAGTCCCTGGTGCCAAAAAGGTTGGGGACCACAGCCTTAGCTGTTGGGGGGTCTTGTAAGGCATAAGGTAATCAAAGAGGTGCCCTAAGTCTGGAGGAGAAGGAAGGGGCAAGGAAGGAAGGGAAGAGGGGAATGAACACAGGCAGCCGAAGACTAAGAAAGACCGAGATATAGCCACCATGCACCCAAAGGCTTAACCAGTAAGGTACTTGCCTTACTCTCCAGCTGTTTCCTGGCCCAGACCAGGCCAGCCCTCCAGTCCCTCTCTCTGACAGCTGATCTCACGTGTGCCTCCCCAGGGTCACCTGCTCTGGGGCATTATCAGCCCTCAGCAGGTACCGCTTATCACTGAACCTGGCCACAGAGCACAGGGATCAGGACGCAGCAGCACACTGTGTGGGTGAGATCAAGTCCCTAACGCCCTGAGTCATCTGCTCGGGAACTCCCACTGTCTCCCCTCCAGGCAGAAGGGACCTGAAATTCTACCACTGGAGATACCCAGGAAATGTCATTAGCTTAGCTACTGGGAAATGATGGGGGGTGAGGAAGATGAAGATTAAGTCTGAGCAACCTGGATGTGAGGCTGTGTAGGAGATGAAGACAACGATCTTCAGGTGAAGGCGGAGAGAGCAGCAATTTCAGGTCTTGCTAATTTCATAACCCTGGCCCCGGGCCAGCCCTCATAGGAAGTCAGCCTGGGCTCCGGCTCAATTCGGCACATGACACACAAGACACAATTCACGTGGAGTAGGGAAGGCAGTGAGGAAACGGAAGCAGGGCTGTGGGAAGAGGGTCGACCTAGAGAGGTTCCACACCCTTCTGCGGCTGTTCCTAACAGTTGCCATGAGCAGTGCCTGGCACGGCTGCCCGGTTGCTCAATCTGGGTTTCTCTCCAAGCTGGGCTGCTGCCCGAAGAACTCCTCCTGCCCACCTCTGCCCAGACTGGGCCTTTGGGACTTACATGGCTATGAGGCGGGCCACAGTGGTCTTGAAACGGTCAAAGATGTAGCCGGTGGGGAATGTCATGAAGTTGTTCATGAAGGATGCCACGGTGAAGATCAGTGAGAATCTCTGATCCTGAGCTTTGCAGACTGAAGGAAAGAAAAGGGCTCCCATCCATCCCAGCCTTCCTGCCAGGAGAACACTGCCTGCCTGGGCTCCCCTCCATCTGGGACAGCTTGCCTGGTGGAAAGTTGTTCCTTACACTGAGCTGGGATGTGACTGCCCCTAATTACCCCCTCAGGAGCTCACAGGTCCCTCCCAGGCACCTCCTAGGCCTTGTGGAGGAAAGGGGCGTGCTGAGCCCCCCTCACCCTGGAAAGGCTGGCAGGCAGGGCGGGGCGCAGGGTCCTTGCTACACCTTCCCACCACCTGGGAACCAGACTTAAGTTCCTCGGAAGAGCCACACCTACCCTCGGCAGCCTGCTCTGTGGCATTGCCCAACAGCCCAGCATTTGGCTCACACAGCTCCTTAAAGTAATGCTCTGCTTTGAAGACAAACACCAGGGAAACCCAGCCAAACACGACGCCCGCAAAGCCAAGGCATTCCAGCAGCCCCGTCAGCAAGGTGGCCACGTACAGGCCCCGGCCGGCCATGGCCCAGCGCGGAGCAGGTCCTCAAATCCGGCCGACTGCCCGCAGGAGCTGCAAGTCCTGGCGTTTGAGCACCCGGAAAATTCCTCTGGCAAGCCCTCCCGTTCACGTAGCTCTCTGGTCTTGACTGTTTCTGGCTTGCGCCAAAGCCAACAGTGGCTGAGTCTCTGGATCCTGTAAAATAAAAGCAGAGGCTACCTGGAAGATGAGGCTTGTGGGGAAAGGCAGAGGGGTCTTTGTGGCCTGGATGGAGGGGCAGCATGACCACGACCGACCGCTGGCAGCCAACCTGGGGAGTAATAGCTTTCATTGGCCGGCTCATTCACTGCGTCTCATAACAATCTGGGCAGCAGATAAGATAAGTCGGGAAGCCCGCCTGAAATCACAGGTGAATGACTTACCTGGTAGTTGCCAGGGCAGCTTGTGGGGAGGCAGGAATTCCCAAGGTCAAATTCAGAACGCAGGTCCCCTAAGACAATATAAAGGGCCACTCTGAACCGGAGTCAGGGCGAGCGAGAATTCACACACACACGCTGCCACGATTTCCCACGACAGTCTGGCAAAGCCGGTGTTTTGTTATCTTCAGTTTATTGACAATGAAACAAAAGCTCCAGAGAATTTCAGGAACGTGCCCAAGGCCACACGGCCAGTAAGTCACAGCGCAGACCCGTCTAATTTCAAAAACAACACCCCGACTCCCAACCCGACGGAGAGCGCGCCGGGAGCCCCTGTGGCGCTCGCCCAGGACTGCCATTCCCGGCGGGAGGGCGCCCCAGGCCGCGCCGCAACCCGCGCGCCCCCGACCTCCGCCCGGCCGCGGCCCCGCGTCCTACCCGCTGCCCCGCCCGGGCTCCGGCGCGCTTTCCACGCGGGCCCAGGTTCGCGCCTCTCGCCGCCACGCCCTGTCCCCGGCCGCCCCCGCCCGCCCGGAAGCAGCAGGCCAGGCCTCGCCTTCTCCATCACTTCCTCCCCGGCTCGCGGCCTCCCGCGCCCTTTTGGACCCTCCCCTTCGGATTCTCTTCTCTTCTTTTCCCTCTAAACCCCTCTGTAACCCCAACCGCTCAGCCTTCCCCTCTCTCGACTGTCCCTCTGGTCCCCAAGTTAGTTTCCCGGCCGTACACACTCGGCCCCGCCCCCGCGGGAAGAACGCAAACTCAGCTGCGGCAGGCGCGGGGACAGGCGCGGGGACAGGCGCGGGACACGCACCCTGCGCTGTGCCTCGGCCACTCGCTGGGCACGGGACACATTTCCCCTCACTTGCTCACCAGCTCAACTCTCCGTCGTTCGCTCCCAGAGCTGCCAGAAAATCCCAACCGCAGAATCAGGGAGCCAAGAGCGGGGACTGAGAGAGAGCTTTCCAGAAACCATCCCCTGGAGGGGTGCCTTGCCTTTTCAGCCCCCTCCCCCAAGGACTCCTTAGATGACTCCCTGCCTCACCCCCAGCCCGGGTTCTGAAAGAGCCTTCTAGCCAGACTGCATTGATTAACTATTTATTCATTGCCCCATTTTTTATTAATCAAAGACATATCTAATTGCCCATCGGAGCTTGTGATCAGCATGAGGTAGCCAGCCTAACCAGCTGTGTTACTTCCAGCCCAGAGCAAGTGAGCTGACGCCTGTCTTCATTGGCCTATGTGGCCAGTTCCTCCTCGAAAGCTCAGTTTGGGGAAGAGCTTCTTGCTTATTAGTCTGCAGCCCCCACCCCCAGCTTCCTGGATCCCCTGGGGGCCCAGGAACTCAAGCTATGCCAAGCTCGCTCCTCTTTTTTTTTTTTTTTTTTAAGACAGAGTCTCACTCCGTTACCTGAGCTAGAGTGCCTTGGTGTCAGCCTAGCTCACAGCAACCTCAAACTCCTGGGCTCAAGCGATCCTTCTGCCTCAGCCTCCTGAGTAGCTGGGACTACAGGCATGCGCCACCATGCCTGGCTAATTTATATATATATATATATCTTTAGTTGGCCAATTAATTTCTATTTTTAGTAGAGACGGGGGTCTCACTCTTGTTCAGGCTGGTTTCAAACTCCTGACCTTGAGGGATCCTCCCACCACGGCCTCCCAGAGTGCTAGGATTACAGGCGTGAGCCACCTTGCCTGGCCTCACTCCTCTTTTTTAAAAATGAAGAAATAGAGGTTAAGACAGTGGAAGGCCAGAACCCAGGAGTGTTTTCCAGATCACTATCGAAACACAAAAGATCAAGTCTGTGACCACCCATGTGACTTGACGGTGTGGGGGAAGGGTGGCTGTGGTCCTGCACCCCAGATACTAACACAGCCTGAGGCAAGCTCTTCAGCTGCCCCACCTGTAAGGTGAGGATAATAGCACCTTAATTACTGGACTAGTCTTAAAAGAGGCATGAGATGGGTTTCTAAGGTCCCTGCAGGGAGCAGGTGTAGCAGGCAGACTGTAGGGTAGCGGATTTTCAGATTTTCCGTTTGCCAGGAGAAGCAGCTTTGGGAGGAAATTTCAAAGGAACTTGCCCAAGGTCACTCTACAAAGCTGCAATGCCTTCCCAACTCCCAACCCTGTGCTCTTAACACTCCCAGTCTCAACAACAGCTATTTGGACATTAGAAACAACAAGCCTTTTCTTGAAAAATTAATTGATAGGAAAAAAAAAACACATAAAAACCTAGCAGCCCAGGACAAATAGGACTTACGATGCTAGATTTTTATTTTACTGCAAGACACAAAGACACTGAAATTAATGCAAGCCCTATCTCCGGCGCTGGCTTACGTTTGGATCTCCTGAGAGGACCTGGGGATCAGTAAGTGTGGAAGTAGCAAGGGAGGAACAGAAAAAGTCAAAGCAAAGAGGGGGAGATTTTAGAATGTAAATCTGCAGGAGCGGGTGTGAAAGGCCCAGCTCACGGCTATCTGAGCATCCAGGACTGGAGCACGGGACTCAGGACAGGTCGTCCAGGGCTCTGTCCACCTTATCTTGTTACCTCTCTCTTGGCTCTCAGAGCCTCTACCCACCACCCCCGTCCATGTGTGCAGAAGGCCCTGCCTCTACTGACAAGGCAGGCTTACTGAAACTAGTGGGAAGGAATATTAGAATATCCTCTGAACCATTCCTGTCTTCTTTGGTTCGAGTTCCAGTGGGTAGCAAAGGCAGATGCTATTCTGATCACTCTTCATGCTTCCCTCCGATGAGGATTAACCAGTAACATCAGAGAAAGGAGTGATTATAATAAGGTCTGACAGTGCACCCGATGTCTTCATCCCTTTTCTCTTCACTGCCTCCCCCTTCACCCTGCGTCTCTTTACATTTATTGATTGGCTCCACAAATAACACGTCCTGGAGCACCAGGCTCTGAGCCAGGTGCTGGGACTCGGAGAGAAGAGATTCAGTGCCTTCCCTCAAGGAGCCCATTCTCTAGTGGGAGAGACAGATCAAACCTGAGATTTCTGGAGTGTGGGGACGGGTCTTCCAGGCAGAGGCTGGCACAGCCCATTGAAAGGCGTAGAGCCTCGACAAGACAAGGACATCCGAGAACCAGCTAGAGCAGAGAGTGGCAAGGGGAGTGGCAAGACTTGAGGCCAGAGTGGCTGCCTAAGTGAAGACATTCGGATTTCAGCCCATAGCAATCAATCTTCTGCTATTGATCCCACCCCTTAATATCTCTCCTATCCATCCCTGGCCACCATCCTCTTCAAACACTTGTCATCTCTCACTCAGGCATCACCTGCTTCCAAGCCGTTGCCATTCTGATGTAAGAGTTTATTTCCACAGTTTCATTTGGTGACGCTACTTAACTGCTCAAAACACTTCAAAGGCCACAGGTCCAATCAACTAGGTAGTAAGGGCCAGTCCAGATCCTGGGGAGACCAGCCATGGGATGTTGCCTTGGGGAGAAGAAAGAGTGTAGACCTGGGTCTCTTGCATCTTACCCAAGTACTAGTGCTGGGGGCTTTTCCTTCCCATCGCCAGCATGTCTGGATATCCAGGCTCCACCCTATGGAAGTTTTGGCCACAGTGGGAAGGTGAACATATTTATTTAGGTCAGGGAAGAACTGTTTGCCAAACAGGGCAGTATGCATGAGCTGCACCAAATCACCCCTCTGGCATGAGCAGTGGCTTGTCCCCTGGTCCTCGGCAGTGCCACCTGCCAGTGCAGCCCCCACCTCTCCAGGGACCTGTCTCTTCTCAAGCCTCCTCCAAATACCCTCAGCCAGAACCCACACCCCATCCCCAATTGCCACTCTCTGGCAGGGTCCAAATACTCTTTCCTACCACCCCTCCTAATCCCTTTCCAGGTTTTTATATGTGAGCCGTTCATATAAAGGGCTTTGATTTCTGATATGCCAAGCACACGCACAAAACATAAACTTTTTTTCCTTTCAAAATGGGCTTGCGCAAATCAAAAAGTTTGGTTTTCCCACCTATGATCTTGGGAGGGGTTTCATGAGCCTGTTTTTGGAAGGCAAAAGGTAGATGTAAACATTTTCTCTTTCATTTCAACTGGGGAGAAAATTTCTGATCATCTTGGAGCAATGCCAAAAAATGAAAGACAAAAACAACCAAGTACATTGATATTAGGTCAATTACTGGTCCCTCTGAGCTTCTGTCTCCTCATCTATGAAATTGGTATTGGGTTATTGTATGGATTAAAGATAATGCATGAAAACTACCCAATTAATACACTAGCTGATTAATAAATAGCAGCTACTGTTGTTTAAATTATTTAATTACTGGAAAACAAAGAGGAAATCCAACCAAAAAGAGAAAATAAAACCATATTGTAGAGGATTGCAAAATGTGCCTAACCTAAAAAAGAAATAAGTGGGAGGTTGGGCGTGGTGGCTCACGCCTATGATCTTAGCACTCTAGGAGGCCGAGGCAGGAGAATCGATTGAGCTCAGGAGTTTGAGACCCACCTGAGCAAGAGTGCGACCCCGTCTCTATCAAAAATAGAAAAATTAGCCGGGTGTTGTGGTTCGGGCCTCTGTAGTCCCAGCTGCTCCAGAGGCTGAGGCAGGAGGATCTCTTGAGCCCAGGAGTTTGAGGTTGGAGTGAGTTGCCATAAACCGCTGCACACTACCCAGGCTGACAGAGACTCTCTCAAAAAAAATAAATAAATAAGTGGGGAAAAAAAAATCACTGTATAATGGGTTAGCTCAGTCATCTGTTTAAGAAGCCCCACCCTGGAGAATGGTAACACCCAAATGCACATCAGTGTAACCCGGGATGACCACCCCCATGACCGTCTGGGCTTGTCTAAAGCAAGGGCTTGAGGCCGGGCGCGGTGGCTCACGCCTGTAATCCTAGCACTCTGGGAGGTAGAGGTGGGCGGATTGCTCAAGGTCAGGAGTTCGAAACCAGCCTGAGCGAGACCCTGTCTCTACTAAAAATAGAAACTAATTGACCAACTAAAAATATACATACAAAAAATTAACCGGGCATGGTGGCACATGCCTATAGTCCCAGCTACTCGGGAGGCTGAGGCAGGAGGATCGCTTGAGCCCAGGAGACTGAGGTTGCTGTGAGCTAGGCTGATGCCACAGCACTCACTCTAGTCTGGGCAACAAAGTGAGACTCTGTCTCAAAAATAAAAAAATGAATAAAAATAAAGCAGGGGCTCGATCTATTGCACTGTGAGCTGTGGGAAGGAAGTCTGTTCACGAGCCAGCGTGGACGGGAAGGGGAGGGTGCCTTAGAGCTGGACTCCACCGTGTCTCCTAGTGTGTTCAAAGCAGTCCTGACAAGGATGGAGAGCTGCTGCATAGCCCTGAGTGAAGATGAGGACTCCTTGTTGGAGAAGGCCTTTCTCTTTAACA